AGAGTTCTGTTGCTAAAGGGAAGGACAAAAGCAGAAGGCGCCACGGGTATAAGGTTCCCCTGAGCAACAATACTGAAAGTTTCAACTTGCAGCACATGGGTGTAACTTTAACTGGAATACTGTGGATCAAAGACTCACAAACAAAGTGGGTGGAAATGCTGAAGGAGTGTCTGTGCTCAAGTGAAGGACAGGTTCACTAGAGAGAAAGCGGGAGCGACAATTTCTGAAACACAGACCAGGCAATCAAGGCTAATTACTGAGCCCGTGTTTTGTGAACTCAAAGGGCAGCGTGATTCAATTAACAAAACCGATGTGTATTATAATTCTGAAAAGCAAAATTACCTCTGTCGACAACACGCTTATCAGATATAAAACAAAAGCAAATTTAAATTAAACTGAACAGTTTTAAATGTGTTGCTGCTTCGTGCGCTTTAATAAGGAAGAGTGCACACAGTCGATTTTGTATTGCATCTCAAACATTCATTCCGCACTCTTGTCTTCACCTGTCAGCTTTTAGAGAGTGGGAGAATTATTCAGTTCTGCTTCTTTAAATAAAAAACACAGCCTTGAAATTTGTGAGGCTTAAGGCAATTCATCAGGTTAGATCAGTACAATGTGGATGTGTAACCTTTACACTGCACTGGAACCTGCACATACAAGTGTTATGAAAGGTCCCCGTGGCACTCTGCTCTTCTGACATGGATTTGAAGACTTGCCACTTTATTAGCTGCTAAGCCCCCACTACTTGTTCTATATAGTGGAGGCCTATGTTATGAGCTGGGATCTCATTGTCTAGCGTTATTAGAGGTAGAGTCTGCAGCGCTCTCTTGTCTCCCCTCGAGAGTAGCCTGACTATTTGAAAGGAAGCTACAAGTGCAATTTAACCCATCTTATTTACAATACGATCTCTTACAAGGACATCATCGCAGCAAGGATTCACATATAATACATCTCTACAATGTGCTTCTTTCCTGTTTTGATTGTTTCAGGGGAGTTGTTTGACGCTCAATTGAGCCCTAAGAAGAAAAAAAAATCTCTGAATGTGTCAAGTTAGAGCAGACACAAACTTTAGTCAGCAACACTAGTCCGGTTTTGTATTTTTCAAAAATACTTCACATAAGATTTATGCACAACAACAAGTGTTTTCTGCTTAAAGGTCAAAAGAGTTAATAAATAAAAAAGAGTGGGTATGGGGTTCTTAATGATAGCATTAACATCGTGTCTGGGAAAACAAGCTGTTTGTGATCATCACTTTTGTCACCAACGCACACGCACACACACACCCTCCAAAATGGAAATGATCTGTTGGCACTGAATAATAAGTGCCATAGTGCCATCTAGTGCACAAATTTGCACACTGAAGAATGACAGTCCCTGTATGTAAAACATACACTACATACTGCAGCGTACATGCAAAGGTACAGGGCTTAAGGGCTACTTGTGATTATGATAAAGGATGGTGTACTGTTTTCACTGATCGCTTGTGTGCTTCAGTGTGAGTTTCAGCTACACTAAATGACCACACTGAAAATTTCCACTCATAGGGGAAATAAACAAGGAGACAAAGGTTTGTCTTAGAAGCCAGGTCTTTGACAACCCGCGGCTGTGGCAAGCCGCAAGGATAATCTCCTTCAGACAATGAGACGATGTTGAAGGCTGTGCATGCAAATTATACTCTGCCATCTAAATTACAAAGACATACACAGACCTCAAGTCATCAGGCCTCATATCTCACTCATCTGGCCTCCTGGCTGTTAGGTTGCCAGAGGATACTATAGAGACAACAGAACAGAAATAATAAGAAAAAACACATGAGCCAAAACAAGAGTCTTGAATAATTGATTGTGTTTGTCTTTTGCTGTTTGTGTGTGAGAGTGTGTGTTTGAGTGAGAGCGAGAGTGTGTGTGTGTTAGGACTCAGGGTCTGGACAGAGCTTATGCCCCTGAGCAGAGCAGACACATCCACTGGCCAATGGTTTGTGTTAAAAACTGTCTGATTGACCAAATGTGGGGGAAGGGTATGTTTGTGCGTGCCGGGCAAAAATGAATGTGCATGGGTATTTATGTTCATGACTGTGTGTGTAAATTCAAAGAGAAATAGGTGAGGATAGTAGCTGCGATGTGTGTGATTTTTGGCAAACTAAACCTGGGCATGATTAGCTCATGTTGAAATCAGCGCTGGTTTTGTATTCAGTAACATGGGAATAAGATGAAGTAAAGATTTCCAGGATAACAAACGCTTTTTGTTAAACGGGCCAGGAATAGGTGTGTTGTAAGATGTTAAAAAGTCAATATACCTTCATTTTGTCTGTGCTGGTAATGAGCCATATTTTCTGGGGAAAATGGCTGCTTCTCCGGAGGCACCATGTCTACTGAATGTGGCCCTGATCCTGGATAAAACAGAAGGCTCACCAATCAATCTCTCCAGGTTGCCCACAGCCAGAGAAAGCAGCTGCACCACATGTTTGCCTTGCGCGATAGCGACAAGTTAACATACGGGCAGCACAGTAACCATCCACAAGCAGCCTCTAGCTGTCTTATAATGAATTCCCACAGGGATGGGGAACTATCAGAGTCAGTGGTGTTACTGGAGGCTCGGAATAAAGTCAACACCTCTCCTTATACCTGATGAAGCTACGGCACGGCAGCACACTCACACACATAGTCACAGCCACAACGCTCGACTCGTACAAACGTGAACATTTCGAATGCACACAACGATTAAGCTGTACGGTTTATTAAATCATAAATTAGGCTGCATTCGGGCATTACATGTTCACGCAATGATGGTGAACAGAAACTGCTTGCTTTTAATAATGCAGTCTTATCGGGACAGCAGTTTTGTTTAATTCAATGTATAACACGTTATAAAGAGACATTTTAAATTAACGAAAAATCGCCATTCAGCATTTTCTTTAATTTTTTAAAAGCCCTATTTTTCATTCTGATTTGGACATCAGTGTGGCGTCTACACCCACACACCTACTGCTTTCAAATCATGATGTGTTTGTACTGTATTCACAAAGTAATGACTGACACAGTGGTCCACTTAGTCAAACATTTAAGCAATCAAAGTACAAAACACAACAAACCCATTTGGTGCACAGGGCTCGACACGTAGAAGTCAAGGGTGTTTTAAAAGGTTTAAGCGGTTGTTAAAATAATGATGGTTTTATGAAACACTGGTGGACCATCTTTTGTTAATTTAAAGCTAAATGCCCTCACATCTACTAACTGCAAATGAGATCAATACACAAGCTGGTGCTGTAGAGTTTCTCTGGTAAACTGACATTAGTCAACTGCATTTCAGACAGCACTTTCAGAAAATGCATAAATTACACCCATTATGTATTCATATGTGGAATAATGTTAAACTGAGTGAGCAAGAAAAGTGCAATGCAGTCCATGTAGATAGATAGATAGATAGATAGATAGATAGATAGATAGATAGATAGATAGATAGATCTGCAGTTGTTCTGGTGGCAGGTGTTGACCCAACACCTTATAAGAACATTTAATTTTATGCTATATCTGTATAAATATCTCTACAGACAAATATATAGATATGTCTGTGCCTGTATAGATAGTTAAATATAGATATATAGGTGTACTGAGAAAGAGAGTGAGGGAGTGAGAGAGTCTTCCTAACCTCCAGGCCTCTGCTCTGCTTCTTCCCGTGGGACTCTGCGTGAGTGATGAGACGATGTGTAGCTTGGGAGAAGGTTTTGGTGGGATTTGGCCCAGGTCTTCAAGGGTACATCGTTTTTATTCTCTTGCCACCTCCTGGACAATGTGCAGCTGCAAAAACCAAATATAAACTATGGGGAAAATACATATATATATATATAATCAAACTTCAAGTCAGTGCAAGTGATGAGTTGGCTTCAAAAACACACGCTATGATAGCTGAATAAAAACAAGCTTTAGACTATGCTTTTTCATATCTGCTTATTGGCATTTATCCACTGAACTGTGTATATATATCACCATATGTATTTAATTTTAAAAGAAAATACACCATCTACGGCAGTTTTTTCTGTATGCACTACATCACACTGCAGACAATCTATTTAAAAAATAAATACACAGCATATTTTTTTGTTTGTTCTGTGTAAAATACCTAAAACATTATTTTGTAGCTTGAAAAAATCACACTGAGTATTTGAAATAATATCAAATGAACCTAATATACTTTGAACCATTATCTAAGTTACCTTTGTTTGGTCATAGAAAACTGAAATTGCATGTGCAGAATTACCAGTTTTAGCCAATAAAACTAATTTTAAAAGCTCACTTACATTGTTGTGAAATTCTCTCATAGATTTAAATTCTGGATTCTTTGAGTGGCAGGCTTCTTTCTAATAACACTGGCTTGCATTTGTTTTCACTGGACTTGTCAGACTCTTTTTACCTTTATCTTCGTGAAGAAATATAACAATAGAAAAGGATACAGACTAAAATAAAGACTGAAAACTATATAGTGGATGCGAAGTAAACTGAATTTTTTCAGTTTTGCCGCTAGATGTCACCGATTGACCATCCAATACAGGCTGAGGTGCTACATGTTGTCACTATAATTCAAAGTGACGCTTTACTCAAAATCACACTTTGCATGTAAAATATGAAAAATAAAATAAAAAATTTAAATGTCAAAAAACGTTTAACATGCAAACAAAATGTGTTTAACTCTTATTCATGGGCTGCTATGCAAATCATTTTAATTAAACATATTTGCTCTGTGGATATATGCCTGAAAAAAATGTAGATTTTCTTAGTTGTTTTTGCATGTGTAGCTGTTTATTTCAGTCACAGTGAAAATAACCAGGAGGGGATGTGTAAATTGTATTTGTCCTGCTTATTAGTGGGCAGCTAAATAGGATTTAAACTCCTCAATAACCATATATGTAAAACATGCAATTCGTCGAAACAAAGCTGGGTGGATATAAAATCCAGTGAAAATGCACATTTACTGATATGATGCTCAGGAGGATGGATGGAGTCAGGATGTGGCATGTGTGCATGACGTCATTTCTCCATGTACTGTGCGCCATTTTGGAAGAAAAAAAATCACGGATAATTTCCGTGGTCTTGACAGATCTGGACCCGAGTCTTCACACTGATTGTGGATGCTATCTATCTCCCCGAGCGCGCCGCACTGGTTGATAAGGCATTGGAAGCTGTGTACAACAAGAGCTGCTAAATGAAGCAATGGCGGGTAAGCTACTTTTTAAAGGAAGGGAAAAGGATCCACCTCACTTGGTGTGTGTGATGGCCTGAATCTGCAACTTGGCTAACCAGCGTTAGCGCTGGCAAGCTAAGTTGCTAGTTGTCAAACTGTGTCACTGTCAGGTCATTATTACCGCCCGATGAAGGGCGAGCCGGAATCACACTAACCCTGGTTTCTTTTTGCAGGAGTTGCAGGAGGAAATGATTTTCAGTGGTGTTTCTCTCAAGTAAAAGGAGCGATAGATGAAGATGTTGCGGAAGGTATGTGGCTAACGTTAGCTCGGCGGCTAGGCTACAGTGGTGGGCAGCTAGCTAGGTGGTCTGATGATGGTTCTCTGTGGGATTCGCTTGAGGTGCACGAGAGCTGACGGCGGATGGACGCGCGTGCTTTTTTGCAAGACTGCTCTCGTGATTAGTGTAGACCTGTTTGTGGATCAGTTGCACAAACGCCCTTTCCTTGTAGATTGCTGTGTGTCGCTAGCTCGCTATGAGCTAGCTGGTGGCTAAACTATTAAAGGGGGAGCGACCGTGCCCGTGACGTCAATGTGCTGCGTCCATAAATTGTCGAGTGACATCATGCTTGTTTTCATTCATACCTTAATGGGTGTACGTGATATTATGTGGTTATCGGTATTTTACATTTTCTATAAGAACAGTGGGACCAGACTTAGCCTGCAGCCCATCACAGTAGCATTCTAGCTGCCATCCCAACTACAGTGCGGAAGCTGAGCTGTGAGGTCTGATTCACACCGATTTGTGTCTTTTCAGCTGACATAATCTCAACAGTTGAGTTCAACTATTCTGGAGAGCTACTGGCAACTGGAGACAAGGGAGGCAGAGTAGTGATATTTCAGCATGAACAAGAGGTAAGGATCACACAGCAGTAACACCATTCCAGAAGTGAAGCCCTAAGCTGTTGTTGTATATAGATATTAAATATTCTCTGAGCAGTATTTGCATATTAATGATCATAAAACTGACCTTACAGCCGATTGTTAGTCAGTGGCACCAGTTTAGATCATCATGGAAATGTAGTGTTTGTAAGGTTGGGGAAACCTGCACTCAGCTAAGACTGAGGAAGTCATTTGGATGAATGCCTCCCACTGAAAACGCAACATCCAAATGAGCAGAATGAGCTCTCTGGGATACACTACATAAAAAGACCAAGTTTATTGTATCCATTTCAACAATACAATTTCTATGAATTTGTCTTGTTATGCTCACATTTACCATAAGATGCATTCATCATCGTACAGCACAGAACAATGTAATGTGGAATAAAACTGCATGTAAGAACTGAAGGCTGCATGCATATTTTAGGAAGTAAACAGTTCGCAGAAACACTGGCTAGGAACAAAGTGTGAGTGGTATTCAAACTGGATATTATATTTATTTTGGTTTTAAGGTTAAATATTAAGGTACTAGACAATCATGGGAAGGTGTTATCTTAGTTTTTCTCAGTTTAATCATATATTTATTCAATTCAATTCAATAAAATTGAATTGATTTTATTGATCCTGAAGGTTGACCCCGAAGGAAATTGGGTTAAGGCTGCCGACCTTTGCCAGCGCAGTCTTACCCTTCTGACCATACATACATACATTACACAAACATCACATGGGGAAGATAGGCCAGAGAGGTATAACAATGGAAAATGCACAACATGAGGAAAGATCAGGAGAAAAAATAACTCCCCCCAGACTGAGCTCCAACAGGGAGATCAGTTTGAGAACAGAAAAAAACCACCTCTGCACATAGCACATGAAAAAACTCTTAATACACCAAAGAAACACATGACAAGCAACAGGGGTGGGTAAAGGGTGAGAGACAGCCAATGTAGACAGTACATCCGGGCCTGCAGCATAAGCGCTGGTCTCCTTGATCCACCGTCAGCATCGGAGGGGAATAAGCGTCGAAGGCGTTTGGATGGGGAGGGGGGGATGAGTGTACATTTATGGAAATTATGGTAAAGTTACAATGAAAATGTGCTATTAAACATTGTTTAGGGCATTTCAAAAAGCACAATGCCATGATCATAGTGTTTTACATCAGTACTCCATAATGGAACTGTTGTGAAAAATCTACATGTGGCTCCACAGTGTAGTAGTTTATACATGTACTTGGTCTATGGGTTTTTGGGGTTGTCTCAGGAAGACCAACTAATGTCTACTATGCAGAATCAAATATAAGGAGTTACCCACTTGTAAATAACTGAGTGGCCGAAAATGTATTTTTTGTTTATTTATTTTGCTTGTTGTTGATTGTGCTATTTTCTGTAATGAGCTTTCTTTTACATATTTATGCAAAAATATGAACAGGTAATGATGAAATCTTGTTTGTTTTTGTTTTTTTGCTGTTGTTTTGGGGGTTTTTTTATGCCATAAACAATACCATGATTACAGTGTTGTTTTTGTTGCCTTTTCCCCCTCAGTCTAAGAATCGTCCACACCTGCGTGGGGAGTACAACGTCTATAGCACTTTTCAGAGTCACGAGCCAGAATTTGATTATTTGAAAAGTTTAGAAATCGAGGAAAAAATTAATAAAATAAGATGGCTACCACAACAAAATGCTGCTCACTTTCTACTTTCAACAAACGGTAAGAGCTTTTTTCTGTTTTTCTTATTTGTTGATAATGAAGCGCTATGTTCCCTCTCCTAAAGCCTTTCCTTTTTCCCCCCAGATAAAACTATCAAATTGTGGAAAATTAGTGAAAGAGATAAACGAGCAGAAGGTTACAATCTGAAAGACGAAGACGGACGACTCAGAGACCCCTTTAGAATCACCTCTTTACGGGTGTGTTTAGCCGTCCCTCAGACCTGCCTCATTCTGAGCATGACTCTATGTGATAACTTTTCTAAAATTGATTGTTGTACATTTCAGGTACCAGTACTGATGCCAATGGATCTCATGGTAGAAGCAAGCCCACGGAGGATCTTTGCAAATGCGCACACCTATCACATTAATTCCATTTCTGTAAATAGTGATCATGAAACTTACCTCTCTGCAGATGACCTAAGAATAAATCTATGGCACTTGGAAATCACAGACAGAAGTTTTAGTATCCTTTTTTTTATATATATATCAGAAAGCTGATTTTTAGATGTGTCTTAAAGTTTTAATAGCATTGCATCAATGTAAAATATAAGACTGCTAGCTCCTTAACAGTGTGCTAACAGATATTGTAGACATCAAGCCCGCCAACATGGAGGAACTGACAGAAGTAATCACAGCTGCTGAGTGCCATCCACATCAATGCAATGTATTTGTGTACAGCAGTAGCAAAGGAACCATCCGCCTGTGTGACATGCGAGCGGCAGCGCTCTGTGATAGGCACTCAAAGTGTAAGTACTTCTACCGTGTTGTAGTGAAGCCATCGGTCTGTCTGGAAAATAGAGAATTCGAAGTGCAGCGATTTCTGAAATTAACCATAGTCTGACAATTTGTCTAGTTTTTTTGTTTTTTCAAAGATGCATCTGTTACCTGTTAATCTAATTTCTTTGTTGTGATCTGTAATTCAATTAAGAGCTCATAAAGATTTATACAAGAATTTGAGGATTTCCCCCTTTCCCTTTATTTTCTAAGTCTTTGAGGAACCAGAGGATCCCAGCAGCCGATCCTTTTTTTCTGAGATCATCTCCTCCATCTCAGACGTGAAGTTCAGTCACAGCGGACGCTATATGATGACACGTGACTACCTCTCCGTCAAAGTTTGGGACCTCAACATGGAGAACAGGCCAGTGGAGACGTATCAGGTGCTTAAACATGCTTTTCTGGGGATTCAGTTTTAAATCACATTAACACTTGTGATCTTTTCTGGGACTTGGTTTTTATTTTTTTTAAAAGTCAACTTTGATTAAGGCTTGAAATAGTGCTTTTTCAGATATACGTCAGAATTTTACTCAGACTTCCTAAAGTCAGTAATAACCAAATAGGGATATGGTCTATCAAGAAATGACAGGCAAACTCCTAATGGAGGCTGATAGGTACCGGTTAGCTTCGCAACATGGATTAAATATGCAGAAGGCTATGTTTTATGTAAGATAAAGATTTGAACAGTTCCCTTTACATTGTTTCATTTCAGGTCCATGAATATCTTCGCAGTAAGCTTTGCTCTTTGTATGAAAACGACTGCATCTTTGACAAGTTTGAGTGCTGCTGGAATGGCAGTGACAGGTATGTATCCTTCCTGCTGCAAAGGACAAGCATTTCACTCACTACTGTTTTTATAAATGTTGTTCCCAGCTTATAAGTTATATCAATCGGTGGTCAAACTTTTGGTGTTACTACAACAAATTCAAACATTGAGTTTATTTTTTACTCTCTTCGGCAGTGCCATCATGACAGGCTCCTACAACAACTTCTTTCGAATGTTTGACCGGAACACCCGGCGGGACATCACACTGGAGGCATCCCGAGAGAGCAGCAAACCACGGGCCACACTTAAACCACGTAAAGTGTCCACCGGTGGCAAGAGGAAGAAGGACGAGATCAGCGTGGACAGCCTGGACTTCAACAAGAAGATCCTCCACACTGCCTGGCACCCCAAAGATAACGTGATAGCTGTGGCAGCCACCAACAACTTGTACATTTTCCAGGACAAAATCAACTAGAAGATTTGGGGCTCCAGAGGATAGGGCTTTTACCGTACCTGTGTAGTTAAGCCTACTACTTGTCTATCTGTATAAGAAGAAACAGCCTTGTTGTCCTCCTGGTGAAGAATTTGAAAGCACGTGTCTACTTTTTTTGCCACAGGAGGTTGATCCATAGGCCTGTTTTATTTTGAGTCTGAGCTTAGGTTGTTTTTGCCTTTGGCACCAGGGCAATCGACATGCCCCCCTGACCCAGAAAGCCCAGTTCGGGTCTAATTGACAGAACGGCACTCCCTAGAGGTCGAACTCTTGAACGTTGGTGTTTGTGTTGACATTTTAAGCCTTCATTTCACAATTTAATGACAGAACTCTTGGAAGTACTTAAAAATGACGTCTTGTCAAGGTTGTATCATCAATTCAAAGTTTTTGGGCCCTCTGAAGCACGGATGAATGGCCAATAAGCCTAACTGTAACATTCCCCCATTGGTCATGTATTCAGGCCACACAACTGGTGGAAAAGGCCATGAATTTGGAAAAGCGGACATGTTTCTCCCCCCAAACCCCACCCCCTTCTCTTATTTTACCCCAGTCAATACGGTGACATAATTTCACTGACTGTATCTACTCAAGTACACCTTGTCATCCACATAATAAAAGAAACTAAATCTACAGACGTGTTTTTAAATTTAGAAGTATGTATTAAAACATGTTTATTGCTTTGCATGTTTTTATGTTGTAGAGAGGTGGAAAAATCTCCAGTCACACCACTGTCTATTGAGCAGATCTCAAGAAAACCTTGTTAAGGAAATACCATTCGGGGCTACCAGTTTGAGAACCACTGTTGGAGACAACCTATAACGTGTTTGTGTCAAGAGATTCAAGTTCTAGTTTTTGCTCATGTTTAGGATGCAGGCTGGAAACTACACTGCACAAGATGGGGTCCAGGACAAAGGGAATCTGCAGCCTTAATACCTACTTCTATCAGTGACAGCTACAAGTTATGTCCCCCAATGTTTTACAAACCTCATGTGCATTATTTGTAAATCCTATTTTATAGTTATGTCATCATATACTGCTGCTACACGTGGCTGTCTATGAAAACACCGAGGAGGAAATTGCACACCATACAGTTTGTGATAGAGTGCCTCCGGATCATGAGATAAGTAGGACATTAAGACAGGCCTCATACATGTGCCCTTACTCATTTATTAGGGATGTCACCCAAATTTGAACTGCATATTGCAAATGTGGATCTTATCTCTGTAGTTGTGAACGCAGAAATGAAGGTTGACTACACAAAATATACTGATGAATTAAAACAAACACATAATGCATTGTCTTTGTCCATTGATTCCTAACATGGTGGCAATGTATTCACTTGTTTATTATTTTGACCAAAGTTCAATAAAATTTTAATTGTGTTCATCTGCTGTTCGCCTGCTCTGCATCATTGTGAATTAAATCAACTGTAACACAGTTAAGGTCATGCATACGTTTCACACTTTTAATGTTTCTTGATGATGAACATGTGCCATTTCTATGCTGTTTGTTCTTTTTTGAAAATCACAATTTATCATTGCACAACTAAGCAATCAGTAACGAGTGCCATCAACTAATCTAAAGATTCCCCAAAACAAATAAAACAGTCAAGTTAAATTTCTTTGAGCCATCTGCCTCCTCTAAAAAACTGCTTGCATTATTTATTTATTTATTTATTTTTTAAAAGTGATTTGAGTTCAATCAAAAGAAAACGCCACTGCTGTGTTCAGAGGTTTACACCCAAAAAACAGCAATAACTGATCCCTCAACTCTCCACACTGCTGTGGGAAATGTGGAACACTGAATTCAACAGGACCACGTCACATGGCTACTATATTTCCTTTGATCATTAGAAGGTCCCGTTTTCATGCCAAGATGGTTGCATGACGTTGATGTGGTAGTGCCAAGCGCCACGATCCTATTTAGGATGTGTTAGGCGCCTTCCAATATATATCCTACCAGGAAAGAAGAAAACAGAGAAATTAAGATGCTGCTTTAAAACATAAACACAACTAACTAGATGTATCTACTGAAATAGTTTTTTAACCGGGTAAAATGCAAACTCAATGACCACCAAATTAGGTACAACTTTTCAGCCAATGGCAGCAACTCAAAGCATTAACCCTCTGGGCTACCTGGAGCCATTTTTCATCCACAGCGTTTTTTAATTTCAAGCCATTTTCACTGTGTTGAATAGAATATAGCCAAACTTTCCAAACATTTATTTATTTTTTTACTTTAGAATTGCAGTCTGAGTTCATCAGATTAGCTTAAGGCATGCAGACATGGTCCAGATGACCTGCTGAATTTCAAATCGAGCAACAGAATGGAGAAGGTGACTCAAAGGAATTTGAACGTGGCATGGCTATTGGTGCCAGATATCTGATCTAAATGTTTCATATTCTGCTGATCAAGTAGGATTTTCCAACACAGCCATCTCTAGGGTTTACAGAAAACGGCCTGAAAAAGAGAAACTTGAACAGCAGTTCTCTGGTTGAATATGCCTTATTGATGCCAGAGGAGTATGGCCAAACTGCCTCAAGCTGATGGCGAGGCAACAGTAACTCAAATAGCAACTCATTACAAGCAAGGTATGCAGAAGCGCTGCCTCTCCAGCTAATTTGCATTTGCTCATCAAAACTGGACATTAAAATGAAATTGGAAAAACATTAGTTATAAAACAGAATTTGCTATAAACAACATGAAAGATCCACCCTGTAGTTTTCAGGCTGGTGGTGGTGGCAGTGTGATGGCATGGTGGATATTTTCTTGGCACACTTTGGGCCCCTTCATACCAGCGAAGCATCACTGATATGGACCAAAATCTCTGAAGAACATTTCCACCAATTTGTTTAAGGTGTAACTAATGAGGTGGCCAGTGAGTTTATGTGGTCGATTTTCAATATAAAAGTCCAAAATAAGATGTGTTGAAATAATGCTCTATAGAATAATAACCACAGGCTCCTAAATAAAGACAATTATATTCTCTGTCATTCTGAAGTTGATATACTTCAGGGAGTATCTTACCTAAACCTATTAAATGTCAGACACTGAACAGGACTGCTGTTTATCCAGTCAGGCATTGTTCTAAACATCATTATGTTTGTTTTATTTTTACATATATTTCAGTGTTTTGTTGTGAGGACACTGTCGTTTTTCTACCCTGCAAATCCTGCAAATGTTAAGAGATTATTGATTGGTCATTATTTAATTTACAAATACCATTTTTAAGTGCATGTAAAATCATCCCAATATTTATGTGAAAATAGAAAACATCAGGTCTAGTGGGTCAACAGTTTCTGCAGCAACTCAAGAGGTTCCCGTACAGCGTTTTTAGTTTTTGCATACTGCCTGAGTTAAAGATTAAATGATGCTGCTTACCCTAAGCCAACAGCGAGTATGTGGGAAATGATAAATGATGGAAGGAAAAGCTTCAGAAAGTCAGAAGAGAGAAAGCCTCCCTTCTTCATGACGCTGGTTTTCCTGATGCTGAGAGAGGTTGAGCGCTTAGGGTGCTTCAGCAGGAACTCCCTACAGAGCGACACATTAATTTTTCATTGTTCTGAATACATTAAAATCAAGTGAGTGCCAGTTTAATGTCACACTAGCACCTTTGCTCACACAGACATCATTCCAAATTTTATGAATCACAATTACAAATCATGGCATGTAATAATTATAGTTGGGGTAAAAGATTATCTCTAATTGTGATATGACTACTTACTTTGGTGGACTGTTCTCAGGTCGGCTAGACCAGTCCCAGATCCAGTCAGCATTTTTCTTCATCAGGTTCTCAACTTCCCGTATTCTCTCTTGGAAATCTTCATCTGACTAAAAGGGGGGGAATTTTTTTTTTAAATAATAATAATAAAATTCTGTCACAATACATTTAGCTTTAACAAGGTTATGAATAATGCATAAACATAAACTATATATAAAGAAAACAGATTGTTTTCAACTTGTCTAAGCAGGAAAAGCCCGACTCAGCTGTTAAGTAAGGACCTCTTCAAGTGGAACGACCTTAATAATTAAGAATACTTTCCCTTGCCTGCTATAACATGTCCAAATTTCTGCTGTGACAAAGGCTTAATGTACCTGTGAGCTATTCCCCTCTGAGCCTTTCCACAGAAGAAGCGGGGTCTGTGCTCTGCGTGGGCTGTTGTGAAGAAGAACAAGAAGGAGAAGGAGAAGAAAACACATAAGGGAAACTCAGCTCACGACTTCTTCATATTACTCAACAAACAGAGGAAAAACATGAACTGCTCTTCCCCCTTCTGCCCACCCCCCACCAACCTGTTGCACTGAGAGCTTCCTCTGGAGCTGCTCCTGCCTGATTCGTGCTGTGCTTCTAGCAACATTTTCTCCATGTCAGCTGCCAGGCTGGATGAGGGAATTTGCTCCTGGCTTCCTTGTTGACTGGCACTTTGGGAGCCATTCCCACTGAAATGCAGCTCAACCCAGGAACCTTAAATCAAATGCAAAGTCTTTAAACATGAATCCTGGTTATCCAGTACTACATCACAGGCCAATCTCGACTAGGATAGGAATGCAGTCTCTGCGCATAGAGGAACAATAAACAAATGAGGACTGTTTTTAGCTTGTAGGCATTTTCATCGTGGCAACACTGCAGATTAGCCTTAATAACTAACTAGAACCATGGCCTACCCTGTATAGCTGTGTCTACACGTCTTATAGGTATATAAATCAATGTCGAGTTGAGATTCAATCTCGCTATTTAGCCAAACACCCCTATCGACTGGCTTTTCACGTGGTCAGGCTAGGTGACGTTATTTACTCGTGGTGTTTAACTATCGTCTACCGCTAACAACAACACTGGCAAATATATATTTGACGTAAATACTTTACCTTGCAGACTTTCGTCAGAGGAAGCGTCCACCGGTAGTGACATTGCAGCGGTATAATGCAGTCTCCGCAGGTTTAAAGGCCTATATATCAGCGAAATGGTGGCGAAATGCCTGCAAGCAGCTGGAGCTCCAACTACCACAATAACAATGACGCAACATTGTGTTTATCTAAAATGTGATTGGCTTGGAAAGGAGAGCACGCGCGCCACGCTCTCCCTGCGTGTTGCTCATGCGCGTTCACGCCCGCATACAAGGACACGATTTATGACCCACCTCGATAAACACGTATCCGAGTTATTTGTGAAAATGTTATGCAAGCAGCGCTACAGAGAAAATGTGCTTATGTCAGCTGACTGTGTCTCACATTTTTGGTTTAACCTTCACTGCAGCAGTTATACACATCTGTCTGCAGAGGGCAGTCATAACTAGGATGACCAGACCCCCCCCCATCCCACAGCTTCAGACAATGTCCCACATTTTGACTTGTTCTGCAGGATATGCACTTTTCTAAAGTCTGGCTTTTACCCTTTGTATATGAAGTGAAAGCTTTTTTATTATAGTCAGAAGAAGGTCATCTGGTATAATGCCATACTCAAAAGGGAAAATTACAAGTCACCAAAAAGTCACATGCTTTGCAGAAGGTGTTTCTACACCAATCTGCATTTTATAATTAGTCTACGGCTTTCTTCTATAGGATGCCTTTTGTTTTGTCTCCCTTCCCTCACCCTCTACTGCTCGTGGCAGATGACTGCCCCTCCCTCAGCCGGTTCCTGCCAAATGGGAGTTTTTCCTTCCCACTGTCGCTAACCTGCTCGTAGGAGGTTGTCAGATTCTAACTTGAAAGTTACACAACTTCATAGTGTAAAACTCATAATCAATGATCTTTACTCTTGCATGACTATGTGTCAGTTCCATAGTCTAGCAACCTAATTAAATTAATGCTTACTCGTTTGTACAGTTTTTCTTTCAACCAAGAACTGAATAACAACATGCTGTTTGGGAACAGCTAGACATATATTATACTGTATTGTTCACAATTTCTTCAACCGGCTAGTCCAAATCTGTAATCTCAAATTTGGGACTTGCAAATACAATTATGTTTGTGGACATGGAAATTAGTTTGGCTCATTATTCTTCCTAAATTGCATTACTGTGGGGGCTTATTATTATGGGTAGTGTACTGCTTCCTCACAGGCAAAGGTTTACACTGTTTACCACATCATTTTAAAACACGGATAAAATACTTTGTTAAAAAATGTTACCAAACAGTTGATATCTTATGAGAAATGAAGTTTGCAAAAGCATGCAGTGAGTGGTGCTTCAGTTTGTGGTGCTCGTGATGTTCCACCTTTTATCTTTTTAACATTTAGCTCTACTAGATGTAGATGTCAGCTAAAAGTACAGAAAAATATCTCAAACCTCAAACTCAGTTCAAACATATTTCCAAATTAAAGTGCATAAATTGGATTTATCAGCTAATGTTTACAGACAGAAGGAATATTCACAAAAGAGCCGAGGAAGGAAGTCCCAATTTTGGGTATTCGATTAAACCAGAAATTTGTATCTGGAAACCTATCACTAATCTGTGTAGATAATCTGCCATTTCTATCAGACGGACTGCTTTCCGGGTAGAAGAAAGTCAAATTCCTGTTTGCATTAACTAGACCGCAAATGTATTAATAAATTGTGGTATAAGAAAACCTATCACTAGTGCATGAACAATAATACCTGGTGGCACAAAAACAGGGAACACATCGTTCCACTCAGGTTGCAAGCCAATAGACAGTCTCTACACAACTGTTTATTGTAGACGTACCTGTGAGATCCACTGTTGCCATCAAGGAGAGCAGCTATCAACACTGCAGGCCACAGACACTGTATTAGACTCTAAGGCTGTACAAGCCAAAGCAACGTTTTCAGAGACTAAGAGACCTGAAAATGTGAGACACTGTACTTCATATAAATAAATAAATAAATAAATAAATAAATAAATAAATGTGTGTTCATTTTTTTTCTAATTTTGCCATGTAAAACAGTTTTCTGTAATCAATACTTTGCATTACAAACATTTATAAACATTAATAAAACTATTGCATCTAATATAGATAGCATATTATGTTATCCTTTAATTAAAAAAAACCAACAACAACAACAAAACAGACAAGCTTTTTCATTGAGTTAGCCTTGCATGCTTTTTACAGACTGAAACTATAATTTTCTTTATCCATTCGTATCAGATTTGCACTTACAAATATCCCATTATAAATCTTAGGCTGTAGCCAAATACCTACATTACGCACAGCATTTAGCTAGCTACTTAGTTAGCATAAGAGTTCAGCTGCGTCTAACACCACTCTAACTGTTTTTTGTTTGTTATTTTGTATATATATATTAAAAATTCCCAAACATACTTCAACACAATGCCTTACCTTTTCTGGAATCTAAGAGATATTTAGTGTACAGTCTAGATTTTTCCAAGCTTGAGAAATGAGAATGAAACTCATCTCAATATCCTCAGGAGTTACTCTGGGACCAGTAGAGCTCATTTGATTCCACGTCACATGGTATTAACAAATTACTGCAGTGGTAATAACTTACTACAAATGTGTTGTTATGCAGCAGTCAAAGTAAAGCAATGATGTTCTTTTTAGACAGATTAAAGCAGCTCTTCATAACTGGACGAGGCATGGACCACTCCAACATCCTGTTGAAGAGATTCATTATTTTTATTATATATATATAAATGTTACATTTTGAAAAAAGCATCTGGAAAAACATTTCAGCTAATTGGAATTAAATTTTGCTTTATTCTTGCTTTATCTTTTAAATATTTTTAGTAAATGACATTAATATTTAACTGGATTTAACTTGGACCTAATCTTCAAATATTACGTGAGATCCTTGGCAATTATTTTTATTGTCTGATATTGCCTTCATTCTGTCTGCATGTTGTCATGTTTTTATTTCACAATTAGATACTGTAATTTACACTAAATTACTTACTTAGACTAAACAATTAGGTGCACCCGCTCAATGGCTCTTTATCTAGGTAGCAAATCAAGCAACTCTTAAACTTAAACCAAGCATCAGGATGGGGAAGAAGGGTGATTTAAGTGACACTGAACAGAGAAAGTTGCAAGACGGCTGAGCTGAGTGTTTCAGAAACAGGTTGATCTCCTGGGATTTTCCAACACAACCATCTCTAAGGGTCACAGAGAATTGTCTGAAAGAGAAAATTCCCAGTGAGCTTTAGTTTTCTGAGTGAAAATGCTTTGTCAGTGACACCAAAGAATATCTGCGTATTGTTTGTGACAATGTCCATCACTTTATGACCACAGTGCATTCATTTTCTAATGACTGCTTCCAACAGGATAATGCATCATGTCACAATGCTCATATCATCTTAGACTGGTTTCCTGAACATGACAATTTGTTTACACTGCTCAAATGGCCTCCACTGTCACCAGATCTCCAAAAGAGTAGCTTTAGGATGTGGCGGAAATTATGTGGGAAATTTGTAGCATGGATGTCCAGTTAGCAAATTTGTAGCAACTGCCCAATGCTCTAATTTCAAAATTAACTCAAATATCCTGAGGAATCTTTACAACACCATGCTGAATCTGTGCCACAATGATTTAAGGCAAAAAGGGGGTCCAGTCAAGTACTGGTAAGGTGTAAGTAATAAAGTGGTCAGTTTGCTTCGTCATCTTAGAGCCTTTTAAAAAGAGATGAGGTACAGACTGAGACTTTGCCTATAAAGCCACACATCTATCCACCTTGTTATGCCAATGTATTGGTGTATGGTAACTGGAAGCATATTCAGAGATTAATTGTTGGGGGTCTGAGTGATGAGGACAGAAATTATTGCAAGCTTGATCGGGAGTTGGTGTTTGCATAGTTCACTTACAGTATATGTTTGTGGGTGTGTTTGATGACATCATCCGGGAGCATATGATGGTGCTGGCGGAAGACAAGGATTGAATACAATCAATACTACAGACAGGACAAGATGCCTCAGGAAGAATTATGATGTCCGGAGTAGGAAATTTGCAAGAGCTACACTCGGTATCAATGAAGGTGTGCTGCAGACGGTGATGGCACTTTCCCAGCGGGCAGAGCAGCTTGACTTGACAAAAAGAATCAAACTTGTTTTAAGACTCAGACTTTTATTAAATTATTTCTCATTTATGAGGTCACAAATTTGTCAGAATAATAGGACCTAAACAGCTCACTCTTTCACCTTTTCCATCAATTTGCCCTTCTTATCCTCTCTCACACACACGTACTCATACCCAAAGAGTTCCTTCAGAGTGTACTTTCAAGCACATGTTGTTCATAAAATAAAATAAGTTGCTCTTTATTATCCAAGAAAGACAAAGAGTTGACCCAAAAAATGTGACTCATTTACAAACTGCTGTATAACTACAGTTCTACTCATCATATTGTGTTGGCAGTAAGTGTTCACCTATACTCTGCTTTTAGCATTTATGCAGAGATAAATGCTAACATAGCGGCCACTTCTTGAGCCTGGTTCTATTGAAGGTTTCGTCCTGTTAAAGAGCACTTCCCACTGTTGCCAAATCATTTGCTCATAGGGGGTCACATGATTGTTGGGGTTTTCTCTGTTTTCTTTGTGTTGTTGTAAAATATAAATGACCTTGAGATAACTGTTGTTGTTTTTTGGCGCAGTATAAATAAAACTGAATTGAATTGAATAGATAAATGTTAAAAGCAGGACTGCTTTCATATTTCTCATTCAAGTAGCACTTGCATAAGGTATCTTTTGTGTAACTACAATCTAACCATCAGGTACTGTGAAATAAAGTCGCGTTAACTGAATTTGCTGATGGTTTTGATGAATAATTAAGCAGGGAGTTTCTGCTGCAGCTCAATACAAACAGGAGGTAAATATGATTAAAATAAAGCATGAATTAGTAAAGACTGTGCTGGCCGACCCAAAGAATGAACTTTGATTTGTTGCCATATTTGAAATATTTATTCAACTTCACATTATCCATGCACTTTGGCTGTCTTTATTCCTCGTTGAGGTCCTCTTTTCCCTGGGGTTTTCTTCTGGAGATCAAAAATAGTCTCTAATTACACCAGTCTTGGAAAACAGAAAACACTGGGCTGCAAAGCTATTGCAGAAACGTCCATATTTTTGATTTTCCTCCTACTATGTTGGGTTATCATTTTATAATTTCTCGCAAAGAAAAATGCAGCCATCTTCTGCATAATTAGACAGCTAGAAATATTATGCTTAAAAATATTAAACACATTCAGAAAACTAGGGACTGAAATATTTATTTTGGATGCAATGTGAGCACAGTGAGATCATGAGGCAAATTAAACAGGAGGCTCCTGCTGCTTACATCCCAGAGAATCTAATTTGATTGTCTTGCATCCTTATCAATTCAGGGGGGAGGAAGTATTATATGCCCCAGTGTGCATGATGCATTGTGCTCAAACCATAATGAATGACCCAACATTCAATTAAAAACACTCTATTCATCACCAGCTATGATTTAAACTTGTTAGTGTGACCTTGATGTTTCTCTGACTCTGTGCAATCCTGCCTTGGCAGTCCTTGTTTATCCAAGATGCACACTTTTCTCAGTGCTCTTTAATTGTCTCTAAGTTAGACCCCTTTGAGATACATAGCCAGCAGCTTTAAAGAGCACTTATTGAGTTGTAAGTGGGGAGAAATTAGAATAAAATGATGGAAGCTGAGCAGAGAGCTGCGTGAAAGTTGTAAGAACTTTCGCCAGAAGCAGCTTATAAAGGATGTCAGATGCATAAATCGCGGTGCTCTGTGGCCTGTAGAGAGGGAAATAAATCATTCTCTCTGCAGACCGTGCAAGTGGTCTTCTGTGTGCATACACTGAGATTAGCTAATGTAAGTGCTTATTTATCTAACCAACCGTCAGTCCCACAGCACGTTGAAAAAACATCCAGCTATATTTGACACCGTCAACATTTGTCTGTATTTTTGTGATTTACATATAACTCTTGTTATACTTCACGACTTCTACTTTTGCATTAATCTTTTGGCCTAGTAATGTTATGGGCCTCCTGGCATTTAATTTCTCTGTTGCTTGGTGAGTGTGTTAAAAATGTAATTTATGCATCCTGCTGCTCAAGCATAGCAGCAGACTCCAGGAGAATTGTTATTTTAATTAAAGGATGAATTCAGACGGCAATCACTGCAGTTTCATCGTTCAAACCATACTGATGTGCAGCAGTAGAAATATTTGTTTTGAATACTTTATAGTACTAAATAGTTTTTTATGTTTATTTGTAATACTAATACAAGCAGATACCTGTCAAAATGTTTCAAAAGATAATCTATTCTTATTAGGGCTGTTATAGCAGACCCTTTAGAAATTATGATTTATATCGAATAAACCCTCATTACCACAAAGCTTCCATTACAGTGTTTTTTTTTTTTTTATTCCTTTTGACAAATTGTTCGTGGGAACATTCAACAGTCAGGTCGATAGTTTGCCATTCCTAATGGATGCTGTATTTTAAGACTCTGAGACATGGCTGAACCCACACATGTGTACCACAGGAATCTCAAAACACCAGAGTCCCAAAGAACAAGCCATGGGAATCACTCTGTTGTATGAGAGGTGGCTGGGGGTGGAAATGTTTGCTAAGTTAAAACAATTATGGATGGCTTATTTACTTTATGTCAGGTTCACAGGCTGATAGTGGCTTGGAATTAGAACTATAAATAAAGGTTTTACTGTTCTGAAAAGTGTGGTTAAATAGCGACAAGACAATGAATGGTGATAACACACCAAGTAGGATAACAACGCATTGATAAGCATGTGTGGATATTAACTTCACAGTGTTTGCAGGAGCCAATCATATTTCTATTGCTCCATGACTTCTGTTTGACTCAGGGGAAGGATTTAATGATATCCTGATATGAAGGACTATAATTCACAATGAACTGAATTAGATATTGTTTTGCCACCCGTACCTCCAAGGCATCATTTTCTCTTCATATAATTGTCTTGTTCATGCATTTGTTGTTTGAGAATAGTTGGTGCTGTGGGGATAGCGTCCTTTGGGTGCAACTTGTTATTATAACTTCCTGCTATTGATTGCACTATACAAAGTATGCATTTTTTTTATTGGCAATATTGTAGCATTTACAGTTATCTACATTTCTTAAATGTGTTTATGTTTTTAATTCAATTGGCATAGACAGAGAAGCTTATGTGCATCGATGTGGCAGTCCTTCAGCCTGCTGTGAGCGCATCACTAAGGTTCAAACATAATACTTATATGCTTATTTAGACTCCTTTGACATTCTTGTGGATTTACAGTAATGTATAATTATCACTAGTAATCATTTTCTTCAGCTACTCCATGAACAGTCACGTTGATGAAGCCGTGGCATGTTTATTGTGGTAACGTCTAAGCCAAATGTCTGCCTTTGTATTACCAGCATGGACAATTTTGCATATGTTGAGCAGACTCTGTTGCAATATGCTTCTGCTGTCTTCTACAAGCTATTAACTTTGAAGCTAAAAACAAACACAGGATATCAGTTTAAATACTGTATACCAGCATACACACGTAGAAAATGTCCATCATCAACATTGATACAACTTCACAATATCAAAGCTTTAACTCACAGGTTGTCCAAATATAATACGAGCTGTGTAGCAAATGCACATCATGGATTTAAGTATGATTTAATATCGCAAAACTAACACTTAGTATCAATAAAACATTAATATATAACAGAAAAAATGCCCTTTTCTTTTTCAAATATTCAATATTGTCTAATATTTTCAAAGGTTACAATTACAGATAAATGTATGACCAAACGCCCTTTAGTGTTCGAAATGAATGCATAAAAGTATTTATTACACTCTTCTGTCCCTTTTACAAAGGATCTTTTTAAAGGATTTCCTGAAGTCATTATTGAATACAGTGTATATGACGGGGTTTAGTGAGCTATTGCAGTAACCTAACCAGAAGAACATTTTGAACAGGGTCTCTGGCACACAGCACTTGTCACACACAGCGGTGAGCGTGTACGTGAAAAAAAAGGGGAACCAGCAGAGAACAAACACTCCCATGACTACAGCCAGAACAAATGTAAAGCGCCTCTCTCTGTACTGCCTTCCTTTCCACCTTCTCCCTCTCTCGCGGGACTCCGGCTGTGGTTTTGAAGCGGTTTCTCCGGGATTCACCTGAGTCACTTTTGCTGTTTTCATAGCCTTCTTCTTTGTAAGTGAACATAGGATTGTTTCATTCCCATCGGAAGAGGAGGGTTCTTCCTCCACATCAAGCTCATTAGCCTCTTTACCGTCTTCTCCTCTCACCTCCCTCTGTTCTCTGTCTTTTCTCTCCAGCGTGTCCAAACCGAACTTTGGGTCTTCTGAGTTCCCATTGTGTCTTTGCCTTTCTCCAGGTGGGGCTCTTGTTCTTTTCTTGGCAATCTGGTAGATTCTAACATACACCGTAATCATAATGACACAGGGTACAAAGAAGGAGGCACAACTGGAGAATATGATGTACCATTTCTCACCATTAATGTCACATTCAAGACTGTCTGTTTTGTCCTTTTTCACTGTGATAAGCGGAGGAAATGAAATGAGAGCTGCCAGTATCCAAACTAAGCAGACTTTGCCTTTAATCCTGAGTGGTGTCCTTCTCAGGTTATACTCAATGGCTTGTGTGACAGACCAGTATCTGTCCAGGCTTATTGCACACAGATGAACAATGGATGATGTGCAGAAAAGAACATCCAAAGCCAGGTAGATTCCACACCATACCTTCCCAAAGAACCAATAACCCATCAGTTCATTCGCTAAAGAGAATGGCATCACTAAAGTGGCAACCAGGATGTCTGCACATGCTAGAGAGACTAAAAATAAGTTCTGAGGTGCTCTCAGGACACGGCTTGTCATCACAGCAATTACTACCATGACATTACCAAACAGTGTTAGCAGGATAAGGATACCCACCAGGATTGTTAGAGGCACAGAGGTCTGCACAGTATAAGGGTTCCTCCCAGGCAAAGTCACATTTCCACTGTTGAAGATAAAACAACCCATCAGAGTGAGCTGTGGTGTCGATGGTATGGTCTGAACGGGGCTCTGTCAGGAGGCTTGGAAGCTGTGCTCCAGCAGTCTATTAATTGCATCCATTCAAGAACACGGCACAGAGTTGAGGCTTTTCATTTTGTTCACTGGAAGAGTTTCCTTCAAAGATATCTATTCTTCTTTTCTCTTTGTCAATTATAAAATAGAGACCAAAAAAAGCAAGGATTGGGGTTTTTATAATATAAACTAAAAAGACAAACAAGCAGTAAAAGAAATAAAGGGAACCTATTTATTCCCTGTTTTTCCACATAAGATAGTTTTAAGAGTACTAAAAAAAAATCTTTATCCACTAACCTTCAAGAATAAAAGCTTCTGCTAAATCCCCTGGAAGGTTTTGTAAAACAGACTTATATTGCAGGCAGATCTTTTCGTCTAGTGCTGCTGAAGAGGAGCTCATCTTTTATATAGGCTTATCTGACGCTGGGGATCTGTGATGCTGGAATGGGCGGGGCTCATCTCACACTGGACATTTAACAAGAGATTGGGGGTTGTTCTAAGACCATGAAACCACTGGCTGATCGTGACAATAATAATATTGTTGATTTATAGAAACAATATATGTAGTCTATTAAATTAAATTAGAATGGATTAAAAGTACACACTGGGTTTTTCATTTCTGTTCCATGAACAGATGGTGAGATGTTTTAAAGGAAAAATATCTGAATTGTTAGAGACGATTAAAGCTGCTTATAGAATCTTTTTTTTTTCCTTTTTCAAATATATAATGACAAGATATCAAAATCAGAGTGAATGAGCTGAGGAAAAAAGCTTAAATGCTTAACCTTTTGTAACTTTCTTCTAATAGCACTACATTTTCAAGCCCAGTCTAATAAATTATTAAACCTATGTGTACCAGGTAGGATACACTGATGTGATGATTATGTTCAGGTTTTACCCACTACCTGTATGCACTACTTTACTAAGTCACAAGCATGCTCACCAAGCTGCATTACTTGTTTCACTTTTAGTTCGCTATGTTTTTCGAAAACAAAAGTGCACACAAACCCAAGGTAATTCATGGCATTAGATTGGATTAAACAGCTTCAATAGTTAAATGTCAAAAAGCAGGTTTGTCAGCTAAATTCTTTATCCTGTGATATGGCGTGGCGTGGATAAGTCTTGAGCCATCACTCACTTCCTGATGTTTTGCTTGGGAAATAGATGCAGACATTTAATGAAACACAGATAAATTAAAGAGCATGAAAATCAATATTTGGTATGACCACTTTTGCTCTTCAACACAAAATAAACGTTCTCCAAATTTTCTTCTTTAAGCAGTCTTCAAGATTAGCTCGTCAGGCTTTCAGGAAGACATTTAAAATGTGTTTGAATGTTGAGGGGTGTTGTGGAAGTTTTCCATTTAAATAAAGCCTGCAGACAAGCGGTGAGTGGTAGCTAACATTCTTTAATCAACACAAAGAATAGAAAACCAAGCTTGGTGGAGAGCCTGCATCATCGCGGGGCAGACGGTCAGCCACTGCTCTCTCCTTCTTCAGGAACAAAAGGCAGTACACAGCTGTTTCACACCCTAAGGTTCACACTCCCTTGCTACCTCCCACAGTCCACAGGGGACAAAAGACTCTTCCCGTGGAGTTGTCTGCTTCCCCCAACTTCCTTACCAGACCCCCACCCCCTGTCTAACTGCACGAATGTGAGACATGCTAAATTTCAGTGGAACCAAGGCATTATACAATAAAAATAATGTGATTAATACATAAATAAAAGAAATTCGTATACAATCCCACCCCTTGATTCTTAAATCAAACCTTAAGAATCACATTAATAACAGAATTTCTTTCCTGACATTCTGTATATCACATCAACATTATTGTACACTTAAAGGAGTTTCACACTGTGTATCCTCACTTCACTGTTCTCTCACCACCCTTTGGTCATCTTTAATCATCCTCACAATCTAAGCTCTCACATGCAAATGGAAACAACAATGATACAGAGGAAAGGCCCTCTCCAGAATATCAAAGTATGCATGGCAGAGTGAAACAGCATTTTGTTGTCAGTCATTCCCCAGTCACGGTCATGGCTCCTGGTGTCTGTGCCATTTACAGAGTCCTAATTCCAACCCTGAGCTTCCTCTGCGCATCTGTATGCACACTTTCTCACAGTGACCTCTGCATTGCAAGCAATACAAGGTCATGAATAACACACTGCTGATAAATTCACAAAGACACAGAAAGTGGCATTTAAAAGGTTAAGTCGGCATGGCCCAGAGTTCCTAGGATTTACCAAGGATGTTGCTGTCACAGTTCTGCTCCTGTGAAAAAGAAACATACATACATACATCCACCCTATTGTCACTGTCTGGGTGGAGGTGCAATCTTGCACATTGGTGTCAAGTCAGTCAAGCTTTTGTCAGTCCAGTCAGTTCCCCTTTTTTTTTCTTTTAATTGCTGATAGCAGAACCTCTCATGTCACATTAAGTTTCTAGTGCCAGCAATATGATGCCATTTCAAAAAAAAAAGAAAAAGAAGAATTTAGACTGGATTACCTCGCTGAACCTTTTGTGTCCCAAATGAGTGGCTTTTTCCAGAGCCCATTTAATGTGGAGAAGCTCACTTGCAATCGTTTCCCGACGAAGTGTTGTGTAGCGCTTTCAATTCCAATCGTGCAGGCCTGCTCTCCTCTTTGCAGTGCTCCAGACACTTTTCAATTCTCCACGCAAGGCAGTCGTTTTTTCTTCCCAGTTTCCTAAACCCAAATTTCAGTTTCCCACACTAAAACAGCCTTCCTCCATGCATCCTCCTGCCCCACTATGGACTCCTCTCCCCACTCATTGTCAGACCAGTGGCAGTCAGTTCTCTTCCAGCTTTGTCCTGTGTTTTCCACTGTCTCATCTTGCCATTTTGCGCCAAAAGTGTCAAATGTCACACTCAGAAAGTCTTCTCAAAGGTCCCTTCACGCACAGTGAAGTTGCAGCTAGTTGGAAACGCATATCTCCATCCATCCATCCATCCATCCATGATGGTTTTTTCCTCCATGCTGATGCTGTTTTGCACAACTGCTGCTGGTAGACCTCTCACTGCTCAGGATACTGCAGTCTCTTGGCCTGCTGTGAGCTCTTTATATCCATGTCGTTGTTCTGGAACTGCACTTCTTGTCTTCAGGGAGAGATTCTTGGAGCTTGTTTTCTCAGGGTGACAAACGCATGGAAGTTAAGCTGTTAAACAATTCAGCCAAAACTCAGCCTGAGTGTTTCGAACAGTGTTAACCTATAATTTTCTTCCAACTGCTGCACATGGAAAATTGATCCAGGTCTGCTCTTCACCTGCAAGTGACACACTGAGAGACATTTTGATCATTCTTATCACTGCTTAAAACAACACATCTCCTCTCTCTGGTTTTGAACTCTCCTTTCTTAAAAACCCAGAATGGAAAGGCTCTAATGTACAGTCACAATTTTTGATACTGACCAGATAAATTTGAGTTTAAATTAAATTTAGAGTAAAATGATAATATAATAATTATAATATATTTTCCACAACATTTTTAGGAGATCGTGCTTTGTGTCTTTTTTTTAGCAATTCAATTAGAATAAAAATGAGAATAAAACAACCCTCGTAGTATGTGGCAGGGACTAAACAC